CCTGCTGATTACAGAACCGGCATTACTATCAAAATGCGCATGACAATCGCATTCGATTAATCGTGCAGCCCTAGGTTGGGCTTATCTATGATGCTGAGAGCGTATAAAACAAACTGACCCTTGGCACAAATATTGAGAGCTTAATAATTGTATCTGTTTTTGCAGCACTTTGTTTTTCCCTGAAGCCCACTTATGAGTCTACTTTTTATATTGCACCAAAAAAGTCATAATTTAATTTTAAATGACTATTTTACCCATTCAATGATCTTTGGAATTAAATGCTTTTTGTTACTACTGTAACATTTCTAAGCCTTTAAGGTGTACTGTACCTTTAAGACTATATACTGTATGTAAATGACAGAAACTTACCTGCTGAGATTCACTGGACTTAAAGGCGTCCTTGAGGATCTCCACGGCCCTGGACGGGTCCACATACTTTCGCTTGGAACCCACCAACAAAGAAAAGAGGTGTCTCAGCTCCTGCATGAAGGGCAGGTTCCTGTGCTCCTATGGGAACGCAAATGGAGACCAAATTAAAAACTTAACAGCATATGAAGTGCTCCTGCAGCTCAAACAGCAGAGCATAGCACCAGCAACATCAAGGTCATGGGTTTGATTCCCAAGGAGTACATAACTGATATAAAATGTCAGCCAAATGCATAAAAATGTAAAATGTATCACTGGTTTTGGGATGTTGTATGTTAACTTAACATTGATATAGGATATGATGGCGAATTGTTTAGTGGATTTGGATGATTAGAGTTGATTAGTTAGGTCTGTCTGCTTTCAAGCAAGGATATCTTTGCCTTACAAACATCTCGATGTCATACAGGGGTCAGAAACCGTCACCAGATCACATCATCTGGATTTTCTTCTTCGGAGGACACTTTTAATTGGTAATAGATTAAAGTCTAGCAAGAGCTCAGCAGATGAAAGAAAACGAGCAATAAAGAGAGAGAAAAGGATGAATTCAGGGCTCTGAGGTCTTCTATCAGTGGATGAGGTTAAGCTCAGATTAGTGGCCATGTCTGCTGACCCCGTTCACAGGCTCAGGGGCCCCAGAGGAACATACTGAAGAAAGAAATCACAGACAGCAGCTAGCCTGCTGAGCCAGACACGGTCCTCTACTTTCTCTTTTAAACGCAGTCCGGAGAAGCCGGTGTGACAGTTTAACAGCTAGAATATAGGGACCTTGAAAAAGCACTTCCTCTGCTTCAGCTCATCTGGTCACAGGCCAGTCAGTTGGGTGAAAACCAGTGCTTGTAACCGTACGATAATGTCAAAGCATGCAACTGAGGCTCAAACAAGGTCACAGTTGCTGGAACTAAGTGTGTCTGGAAGCTCTTATGGCATGAGAGCTGGGTATTGGGCGGCAATCTCACCTTCTGATTGCGGGGCAAGTCCTGCATCCGTGCAGGGGGCGAATAATGCAACACCAGCCTCTGGAACTCCAGCAGGTTAAAAAGAGACTGAAGTATATAGATAAAAAGATAAATATCAGTATTTGAGAACAGTGTGTACCAGCTCTAATATTAACACAACCTTGTGATGATACGTTAGACAAAATAAAAAGACTGCATGTGCTTCCCGCAAACGCATTTAGCATTTTTCTCATGGACGGATTGTTTTTGGTGACAGATTCACACATTTAGTGTCTCCTTGTCCAGATCTATAAATCCACAGAGCTGCGAGTGCCAGAGCAGCTGCTGTTCTTACATGAGCGGGGGCTTCTTCAGGCATCAGGTTACACACAGGAGGTAAACAGCATGTGACAGTACTCAGCGATCATTACTCAGCTATCAACATGGTTCATGTTCTGACATCGTATAACAGACACAAACAATCAGGCCTCAGACGTAGAACCTGAAGTCACCTTCAAAGTTGTTTTAAAAAGCCAATACATGCAGACAAATATGAGTACAATATTAATGTTGTTTGGTAGTAATAAATAATTACAGTAATAAGCAATATTAAATGTATAAATTAATAATATAATAAACAATAATAAATTTGCAATTGCAATTAGCGTCGTATAAAAGCAATTAAGACACTTAAGGCCAAGCAATACAATTTCACCACTTTGTGTCATTTTTGAGCCATTAACAGAGAAAACAATATAATCACACATACATTTGACTGTGCCGAAAACGGTTATTTTATATTTTTATACATACATACATACTATATATAGATACACTGTTCAAAAGTTTGAGGTCGGCAAGATTTTTTTGTTTTTTTAGAAGTCAAAAAAAAAATTTTTTTTATTAAACTTAAAATAATTTCCTGTGATGGCAAAGTTGATATTTTAGCAGCTATTACTCTAGTCTTCAGTGTCACATGATCTTTCAGAAATCATTCTAATATGCTTACTTGTCATTTTTGAGCCATTAACAGAGAAAACAATATAATCACACATACATTTGACTGTGCCGAAAACGGTTATTTTATATTTTTATACATACATACATACATACATATATATACATATATATATACATATATATACACACATATATATATATATATATATATATAGATATATATACACACACATATATATACATATATACACACACATACTAGCTGCTTAAGAAACATTTCTTCATTTCGTTCTATTCTTTGATGAACAGAATGTTCAGGTTGAAATTTTTTTAAAGTTTGAAATTTTTGAAAGCTTATTTTTTAAATTGAAGGTATCCTTGCTGAATAAAAGTTAAAAATTAATTTATTTCAGAAAAAAAAAAGAAAAAAGTTTGAACATTGTTTATTATATATTCTTGGCATATTTCATCTACTCCAGTGCTCTAAACTTGATTCAGCAAAATCTAGATGCACATATTCCATTACATCTTCTCCGAATTAAATATACTGATGCAATTAACAGTACTGATACAGCAGCATCTCTGCATCAGTAACTGCAATACAAGGCCACTCGACTTCATTCAGATCTGCAACACACATGGGACTACCATAATCAAATTGTCTGGAGCATTATAAAATCAAGTAAGACACAATTAAAATGAATTAATTAAACTGTCATTTGTTGTTTTTCAGTTCATTAAATAAGCAAATGTGTTTCCAATTGTAAAGCAATCACAGAGGCTGACCCGGACCTGTATAACTGCACTGAACCAGCACGTGTTCCCCACGTTCTTCAGCCCTACGGGACAGTTCTCCTGCCTCTTCCTGTCGTGAGGGTTGGGTGAATCGCTCCATACTTCTGTGTGCGTGCGCTTCAGGCTGGCCTTGTTCTCAGCAATGCTAGCCTCCAGGACTCTGAAGCACAAAGACACAAACTTTACTCCTGTCTGTTTACTCCACATATAAAATGGTTACCAAATAACTCTACTCCACTTTTTTTGAACTAAAATATACAATAATACAAAATATTCAACAGGATAAAAGTTAAAAGTACAGTTAAAACCCCACCTGCTGATAGCCTGCTCTTCGTCAGTGATGCCTGTCTCCCTGAAGGCCCTGTTTGACTCCTCCAGACTGAGAGCGATGGCCCGCTGAAGGTCATCTTTATCATCTCCAGTGAGATCAATTACATCTGAAACAATCATAGGAACACTGGAAGTAAACAAAATGGGTTACTAGCAAATGATGAGTGTGTGTTTTTTATATTTATTTATTTATTTATTTATTTATTTATATTTATTATATAAATAAATTTGACTTGACTAATAGTTTTCTCCACGTACTAAATTGGGATAGAATTTTTTTTTTTTTTTTTATATTACATGCTTCACAGTTAAATAAATTTATTTAACATTTATTTACATTTATTTTAAACAGTATTTACTCAAAAATATTTGAAAAACTAAACAGTCACTAGACTTCGAACACTTTTGTTAAACAGCTAATGTCAAGCGTCTAAATTTTTTAATATCGTCCGATAAATCAGCTCAAATAAAAACATGAGGCAGCATGCCAAACTAACATTCCCTGTCAGCATTTTCTCAGCAGTAGGACTAGAGATTGTTTCATCATCATCTGAAGCAAGCTGGGAGGAGTGGCAGGCTGGCTCTTTAAAAGGTCTGGCTCTCTGAGATGATGTGCATGTATTTATAAGAGAGCTGCCAGTGTTATGAGTTACATGAGGTCTCATCTCTTTCCTTTCAGCAGGGCGTGTGGAATAAATATTAATTCTCTGGTTTGACACAGCAGTGCTAATTTACTCCTGCAGTTTAGAAGGCAATGAATCAATCCTAAAATCCCACTTATTAAGTTCAGGCACTAGAATACAGACTGAAACCTTAAAAGCAATGAAATCATTTTTGCTGTCAGGAACAGGGCATTCACAGCTGGTTCTTCATTCAGATTGCATTTGCGCCATGGCATTTCATTGTACTGCACCACAGAGCAGTGTAACCTTCCCCTGGATTCCGGCCCATCATTTTTCTGAGATTTAAATACGTACTTGTGTCAGCCTGGCTGCCCACACTGATGTATCTATCATTGGTGATTTGGGCCGTCTGGTAATAGGTGGCTTCATCTTGCTGTGGGACCTTGGCGTTCTTCTCAGTGAGAAAGGCCACCGCCTCGGCTAGGTCACCGTTACTGGCCTGGACACAAATACAGATGTTCGAACAGCTTTCATTACATACACTAAGAAACAACTTGTCTTTGAGCAAATAATATCAAATTTGCATCTACCTAATCTGTTGCAAGTAAAGCATACAAGCCATACTATACTAGTTAGTGAGTTAATGAAACAGATGGTTCACCTGCAGTGCCTGCTGTAACAGCTGAACATCTGTAGTTCCAGTAACTTCCCTCAGCTGGTTCAGTAATGTCTGCTGGTGCTGTGAGAAAAACACAAGAGAAACACATTTTTAAACATCAGAAACTGACAAAATTAATTAAAAAAATAAGAATAAAAATAAAGGAACTGCACATTATAATGTTGTGATGCTTAAATATAATTTTTAGTGCTTTATTTTTTATTTACTTAATTTTATATAATTTCAATATCTCAGGGGAGATAAATATAATTTCCATGAGCACACCTGTTTGTTCTAAAATGTATCCACTTCTAAATGTCATATTTAAAAACAAGACAAACTGTATTGGTAATTTTACATGTCTCTTCCTGTCTAAGTGGGGGTTTTTGGCAGAATAAGCTGCCAAATGGATCAAACGTTAAAAGTCCGGCCTTGCAAGACCAGGATCCAACTGGTTGCTGTCACCAGCACCACTCAGGAACAAACAGAACAACATCTCACACCTCTGGCTGGGAAACAGAGAGTACTGGCCCTTTATCTCAGTACTCCTGGCTGCAATCAGGAACGGCATGAGTCAAACACAGACTGTGCCAGGCGGAAGAGGGAGGAACAGCACTCCTCCCTAGACCGAAATACAGCATGACTGATCTGTTTCTACTCGTCTAACCATTGCTTTGGTCTCTACCGAATCTTATACAAATGTTCTTCTGCTTGCCTCATAAGTCTAAGTTAGTGACATCGTTACATAAACTAATAGCCAGCGGCTAACAGATGCTGCACTGACCTTTTAATGCATTGTATGCTTTACATTCAAGATATGACATGAAACGTGGTATGTGCGGGAGCGTGCACGTCCCAACCCTCTAAAGGTGGCACACCCCTCCCTGAAATGGGCTATGTAACACACATTTCTGAACAGTAACATGATAAAGCAACACAAGCTCACAGCCAAATCAGGGCTGCTGAAACTTACAGCCTGTTCACTTTCAGTTTATGCAAAATACATAGTTTTATATTCCCCACCACCTGCTGTAACTCATTCAGTTTAATTAAGATCACTTCTTTAGTTACGGCATAATACTCTGATAAATTATCTGCCTAGTGCCTATTAAACTAAATAGATCTTTATTCTATTAAAAGCCAAAGCAGCCCCTCCGTGAGCACGTTAAATGTATAATGTTAAACAACCACTACAAAAAAGACACACAGATTCCATTTTAATCTACAAAAACTAACAAGAAAAGCCTAATTTTTACAAACAAATAAAAACATAAAAAAACAGACACATCAAGAGCCTATTTACAAACATGATATTAAATTTAAAAGCTAAAAATGACAAAAACAAACAAAAATATAAACGTTTAAAAATAGACGAAATTTAAATCAATGAAAAAGAAAGCGCTTATGTTTACAAACAAATGAAATAATAACACAAATCAAGCAGACTCATGTTTATGAACTAATAAAACTGAAAAAATAAACACCTAATGGCACGTCTACTGAACAGCCCGTTCACAAACAGACGAAATTGAAACCGACATAAACACAAACCAACAAGACAAAATGTCAAGTTTAAAAACAGATTGAATAAACGGACAAACACGAACCAACAAGAAACGCCTAATGTTTACAAACATAATGGCAAAAGTATGAATATATTTTATGAGGCGCCAGTGTGGGTGTCAGAACATAAACAAACCCGCTACACTACACATAAACTCAACATGAGATACCATAACACTTCTGAACACTCACGACAGAGACTTTGCGGGGTATTTAGTGAGATTTAAGATCGTTTTGATGGGGACGTTTAGTAGCTTTAGCTCTGTTAGCACAAACACGACTGATTAACGTTGAGTTTAGCGGGCCTAGGCTGTTTTATGTATAGTTGTTTATTGTTTTAAACTGTTTAACTGATTTAAAACGCATACAACGTGTGTAAGCATTAATAGTCCAGCGAATAAAAGCAAAAACAGAAACGTGAAGCGCGGCTAATGTGATGCTAACACTAGGCCTCAGCAATCAAACTGAACCATTGGAACTTTCAACGCGCCCATAAACCTCCTTATGACACCAAAACGAACCGAGCCGAGACAAACCGAACCGGACCGAACCGGGTCTGTGTGTGCCCGCGTTACCTTCTGAGAGTGCTGCTGCAGGACATTCTGCTCCACGGTCATGGCCGGTTCCGATCCAGACGAAATGGACTCAGGTTCGAGAGGAAAAACCGAGCATACAGGGATTAGAGTAGTTTAATATGGGAGAGTAAAAAAAAAAAAAAGAAAAACCCTGTACTCATCGGCGCTGCAGAGTACTCGAAGAGTACAAACACTTCTCACATCTCTGACATCCATTAACTGGGTCTGAATCACACGCGCGCCTACGTCATAGCGCTGGTTATATATATACACACGACTATACGCACACATTGAAACGAGTATAAACAAAACAATGCACACATAAAGCAATACAAATCTAATCAATAAAGACGTGACTAAAAAACCCGATGTTATTTCCCAAAAATTAAATACATTTGTAAATACTGTCACGCTGAATGGGGTAAGTTGTCACAAAGGAAACCAGCAAATATAGGTTGTTTTGTAAAACGATTATGAAACACAAAATAATTAATTAAACTGTAAGAGTTAATATCCAAAAATAACAAAGCATTGCTTTGAGCCAACAGACTTTAGGATATAATTATTAAATTGTAGTAAATTGAAATGCTTTTTAAACATTTCACATATGACAACTTGCCCAGGTAAACACACTGCAGTCAGCTGACTGTGAGTTCCGTTACATTCATGAAACGAAAGTGAAAGCTCTCACACAGAAGAAACTGTGTGTTTCTGTTTCTGTTTAGTGAAATTATAAGTATGACCCTTCACAGACTGAAAATTAACGCAGTTAATTAAATACGGTATGCAGTATGACGTATGACATATTTTTGTCAATCACAAAAAAACAGAGAGAGTGAGAAAAGTGTGACATATAAACAGGGTTTAGATTAAGCCAGGATTAGGACATAGTTCAATCTGGATATTTAAGTCGTTTTTATTAACGTGCCTTAGCAATAAACATTACTGGTTTGCATCTTGAGACATATTTTGAAATCAGTCAGTGCAAGTTTATTTCAGTTAAAACAGCCCAGACATGCATTTTAGTCTGGGACTAGGCTTAAGCCTTGTCTGTGAAACCGGGGGTATATTATCTAAAAAATATACTATATTTCTAGCTTATTTTTATTTATTAGTATTTAGTATTTTTAAATTGTAAGTATGACCCTTCACAGACTGAATATTAAAGCAATTAATTAAATAGAGTGTGCACGCTGCTTCATATGCATCTTAATATCGATTCATATTAGTCCTTATCATAGACTGTATAAAAACGGGTCCTTATGAATCTTATATGTCCTGTGTCCTACCAGCAGGTGGCGCTCATGTACATGTTTTCAGTCAGTGTAACGTTGCATAAGCGCTGACCCATGCAGCAGAGTAAAGGCCAAGAGGACTCAAGAGGTCACTAATGAGAGGTGGGGATGTTTGTACTGCTTTTTGTTTGATGAAAGCTATGAACTCACCTTTTCAGTCTTTTCAAACAATTATATATGTTCAAACAAGGCACACCATAACACTGAATGTGTTGTTTTGTAGCCATGTTCCTGATCCCCCCCTCCAACGCCATGTAAATATGAGGATTGGTCTCTCATGATCCTTATAGTGTGTGATATTTCACAGCATGTGTGTATCTACAGTAATAATCTGTATAATAATCAGTAATAAATCCATGACCCATGAAGTTGAATTTGAGCTGGTCATACACAGACCATCTTTAAAGAAAAACAGAAGTTTTCTTAAAAATCTGAAAATAAAATAATATAACATTTTTATTATATAATATATAAAATGTTCTAGTTCTAATATCTTTACATGGTATATTTTAATATATTTTTACTTTATTAATGAATTAATATTGTACAAAGTGAGGTTAATTATATATTATATAATAATACACATACAAATATAAACACTCAAAACTCAATTAATTGTTCTGTTTATTGAAGTTAATTGAAAAATCTAAATTATAGTTTTAATGCTTGAAACTGAGAACTAAAACTTGTTAGCCTGAACTTGCATGCATATTCAAGGTTTTCTCATATCATGAACAAAACCTCATATTAGCAAAGGTCACAAGACCACATCTGTTCCAGCACTGAACTTGAAATATCAGTCCATTCCCTAATGGAACAAAATTATATGGGAATATACTGAAAAATATAATCCATATATCGGAAACCAGTGCTTCTATTTTCAATATACAGCAATATATGCATTGACAATGTATAGCTATATATTGATACAAAGAAATATATTTAGAAATTAAGACAAAAATGCATCTAATATTAGTATGAGTTGGTGTGCTTATGCTATTGTAAACTATCTATATTTAAAAAATGAAACGCGTATATTGTAAATGATTGTTGAACATAAGAAATATATATTTCATATATATATAGTATGATAAAATATATGTTCAATATTTATTCACATGCAGTACCATATCTTATCACATGTACTGTACATTTATATATTATAAAGTGTATTACTGAATATAAAATTACATACATTGTGATAAGTAAATAAATAAAGTAATATTGTCACATATTTTTCAATATATGAAAGAGGCAATTCCTTACGTATTATTCAATATATTGTAATACTGTATTTACACAATATATTATTCTGTATAATTTCTAATATACCGTTATCAATTTATCATTTAATATATTGATCATTCATATATAAGGAAATATGTTTGCTTTGCGTAAGGGTTTATCGTGACATTAACCCATGATATGTTAACTCCAACATAAGTTAAGTGTGAATCAATTTTAAGCTCTTTTATGCGAACAACAACAGGGCTCAGTGAGCACTCTTAATGAAAGGAGAAGTTCTTCTGCCAGCTGTCACATTTCTGGTGGCCTTTGAAGAGGGGGCTGCTGGGAAATGGGAGAGAGGGAGGGGGTCACAACTGCAGGGCAACTGCAGATCAACCACAGTGAGTGAGCCAAAGATGTCAGAGAGAGAGAGACAAAGGTCACAACCCCTGAGGCTCTGGCACAGACTTCAAGCTACATTAAAGTGATTATTATGTTTTGAATATGGATATTTTTCTTACAAAAATGCATCGATTCGCTACAGGAGGCCTTTGTTCATTAAACAGCTTGAAAGATCAAAGACAATTTTTAATATAACTCCGACTGGATTCGTCTGAAAGAAGAAAGTCATATACACCTAGGATGACTTGAGGGTGAGTAATTTATGGGCTAATTTTCATTTTTGGGTGAACTAACCCTTTAAGACAAACTTGGATAGATAGATAGATAGATAGATGAAGCTTTGTCTCTTTAAGATCTTAAAATGAATGTTACACAATTATTTCCTTGTCAAAGACCAATTTGGTCAGGAACCCGTGAGAATCACTCCAGCAGATCTGCTTGCAGATGTAATTAAGCACCTGTGAATGAGTGTTTTCTACACCGGCAACTGTGGATTGCAATGGATTCAGGTTAAACGTTGACCCAGGAGGCCGTGCTTCAATGCAGGAAATACACACAGCGGCTCCAAACCTCCATCTCAACCTG